TATCTCTTTCTCTCTCTCCTTCTCTCCGTTAAGAAGAATTTTAAAATCTTTCTTTAAGGTCTTCAGCTTGAATTTAATTCAGCTTCTTTTTCAAAAAACATCAAACTGAAGTTCTGATAAACAACAAACGAGCAGATTTTTTTATTTTTTTCTATAAAACGGTTTCTAAAACAAAACTTCTCATTTTTTCGTAAATAAAGCAATAAAAAATTATCTCAAATACTTTGGAATATTATAGCAGTGATTAATTTTAATAAATATTATAATATAATTAAAACTTGCAAATGCGAGTGATTGCTAAGTTTATAACAAAAAATTGAGAGTAATTAATTCTGTAAACTTACGGTCACAAATTAAAGATCCTATTTTTCAAGTGGACGCTCAATGTATCAATACATCAAAATTTCATTTCTATGCGTGAATGATTCTTATTTATCTATGGCACCACAAAAATACTTATCCATCTATGTTTGTAGGATAAATATTTGTGCAATTTTCATTTGTTTATGTTTGCCTGAGAGTTATTTTATCTTTGTTTACGTCAGAGAGTTCTTTTGATCACATTATCGCCATGCTGCTTGGCTGGCTAGCGCTGCGGTTTGGTGCGGTGGTTGTTGTGGTGGTTTGATTGAAATTGGATTTTCTAGAAGTGAGAACGAGGTGCTGATAGTGATTTCGCTGATGGTAATGATGATTTTTATGGCGATGATGATGTGGATGTTACTGATGATGACGATGATGATGATGTGGATGCTGTTGCTGATGATGATGATGATGAATATAAGAGCGGTATTTATTTATAACAATAAAAAAGATGATGATGATGATGAACGTGGTGATGGCATACACACACACACACACACACACACACAAATACATTGATAACCTCATAAGCAAACAAAAAATCAATTTGCTCAAGCGGTTAAATGACACAAGAAAAGCAGAGACACATTAAGAAAATTGAAAAAAATTTGTTCACAGCAAACAAATAAAAATTAGGAAACACAAACTAACACACAAAAACAAACTCATACACACATACAAACACACGTACACACAAAACACACATGTACACACGCACACACATACAAACACAGACACAGCATACATACATTCATACAGAAAGGACTTTATAATTGAAAAGAAGCGTGTCTGCTTCCCCGTGCTCAACACGCATTTTGTAATTCAATTATCAATTATATCTCAGCCGCCAATGCCACTGTTGTTGTTGTTGCTGCTGCTACTACTACTACTGCTGTTACTACTACTACTACTGCTACTACTACTACTACTGCTACCGCTGCTGCTTCTGTTACTACTACTACTACTACTACTACTACTACTACTACTACTACTACTACTACTACTACTACATTTTGTCTATCACTATCACTCCTAATAACAATCACTACTGCTATTAGTAAGATTACTTTGATTTTGTAGTCGTTGTGGTAGCGTCAATAGTGACAGCAGCAGTATTTGTAGCAGCAGTTGTAGCAGGAGGAATAGTACTGGTAATAAACCAGCAGCAGCAGTAGTAGTAGTAGTAGCCGCCGTCAGCTGAAGAGCTGCAGTACTAATTCTAATACGACTTTAAGTATTATTAACAGGGTAATGATGGTACTTGTAAAAAGTTGATTGTAGTGGTGGCACACACACACTCATAAGAAGCACAAGATAACGCGCACACACACGCACGCACACACGCACACGCATACACACACGCACACGCACACACACGAGCATTGCTGGTTTTAAAATAGCGCAAACCATTTTTACGCTGTCAACAACGAACCATTAAAACAAAAGCAGCAGGAAAAAAAAAGAAAATATATGATGATGGCGTTCCATACAAGGCACTTGTATCTGGCTTTCTATAAATTAATTATTGTCGGCGTCGTTGAAAACATCAGAAGATGATGAAATGAGTTTCGAAATGATGACGATGATGAGTATGAAGTAGATAAAGTGATTAACTAAACGGTGATGATGGTATCCATTGGGAAATATAATTATAGCATGGACGAAAATGTTGACGATGATAATGATGATGATAATGAAGATGATGATGATGATGACAATGATGATGACGACGATGAAGAAGAAAAAAAATGAACAAAAACTATACTCACAACAATATAACTGAGAGTCATGATAACAACAACAACAGTAGCAACCACAACAACAATAGCAGCAGCAGCAGCAACAACAACAATAACAATATTGACGATGATGGTGATGACAGAGGTGAGACCGTTGGTTATAATTAAAAAATGATGATACACATAGGTACATCGCAAATCATCATTTTTAGCCAAGACAATAATGATTCTGGCATCAATATTCTAACTGATATTATTGATAGATATCATTCTCATTGATATTATTGATAGATATTATTCTCCTTGATATTATGGAAAGATATCATTCTCCTTGATATTATGAATAGATATTATTCTCATTGATATTGTTGAAAGGTATTATTTTCGTTCATATTATTGAAAGATATCATTTTCATTGATATTATGGATAGATATCATTCTCATTGATGTTATGGAAAGGTATCATTCTTATTGATATTGTTGAAAGGTATAATTTTCTTTCATATTGTTGGTGTTGTAGTTTCTGCAATTGAGAGTACTTATCCAGAGAATGACATTACATTCATACAGACGACCATACTTTATATGTATAATTTTATTATTATTATTTACAAATTATGAGATACACCAATCTTAATCATGTATAATTGACAGCAAACTGAGTTAACGTAATTCCTGATGCGGACAAACAAGTGTGATTGGTCAGAAATGTAGACAGGAAGAGGAATGAAGGATTTTCACATTTGCCAAAAATACTAAATGCAATCAGAAGGAAAAAGTATTTTTTAAATTTTGTAAAAATGCGCAGAAAGAAAATTAAAAATGGTAAAATGAAAGATAAATAGAAAGATATATAATAAGAGAGAGAGGGAGAGAGAGAAAGAGAGAGAGAGAGAGGGATATTAAATAGTAGTAATATACATAAAATAGTATTTGTAGTTGCAAAAGTAGTGTTTTACGTTGTTGTTAGTGTAATTGTGGCTGTAGTAGTAGTAGGTAGTAGTAGTAGTACTAGTAGTAGTAGTAGTAGTGGTAGTAGTAGTAGTAGTAGTAGTAGTAGTAGTAGTAGTAGTAGTAGTAGTAGTAGTAGTAATAGCAGTAGTAGTAGTATAGTAGCAGTAGCAGTAGTAGTAGTAGTAGCAGCAGCAGTAGTAGTAGTAACAGTAGTAGTAGTAGTAGTAGCAGCAGCAGCAGCAGTAGTATTAGTAGTAGTAATACTGACAAAGAAAGTAATAATAGAAAATGTAGGAAGAGATTTATTAAACCCAATGAATAAGCAATGAGTGTAGTAGCGACACTGAGATGTGTCTATTGCGGCTATTACTTCTACTTCTACTACTACTACTACTACTACTACTACTACTACTACTACTACTACTACTACTACTTCTACTACTACTACTACTTCTACTACAACTACTACCACCACTACTACTAATACTAAAAATAATAATAATAAAAAAAAATAAATCCTAATTAGATTGAAATAAATTTTTTTTAAAAAGGTAAATAATAAAACAACATCGAAAATTACCCTAACCTTCTCAGGCATCATATCCTAAAATTTTTGGTAGTCAAGTCATTTCATGGTATGTTTTCAATTATCAATATTTGATTTTTTTATTTATTTGTTTGCCTGTTTGTTTGTTTGTTTGTTTATTTGTTCATATATTTTCTTCCCCAAATAAATTTATTTATTTTCACTCCTAATCACGGTTCAATGACGTATATATACTGATTGTTTATATTACTGTGCATATATATCTATAAATACATACCCACCCATATAGGCGTACACTTAAACACGCACATAAACATATGTCATCATGAGGGTATATATATATTATATATATATATATATATATATATATATATATATATATATATGCGTGTGTGTGTGTGTCTGTGTCTGTGTGTGTGTGTGTGTGTGTGTGTGGACGTGCGTGAGTCAGGACGCTACTCACATATCCAGAGGCTTACATGGAAAACAGTCAAATACGTGCTATACATGTATAATTGTATAGAAGATAATGATGTTATATACGTATATTATATATATATATACATATATATACGAATGCTTATTTATGCATTTAATTATTTATATTAAAATAATGATAATGATAATAATAATGTGCCAATACTACTACTACTACTAATACTACTACTACTACTAATACTACTACTACTACCACTACCACTACTACTACTACTAAGTAATAAATAATTAAATAGGTGAACGTGTCCCATTAAGTCTGTTCTTATTGACACCAAGCAAACACTCCACTTTATATATTTATTTGTTTAGGCATTTATTTAATAAACAGAATTATTACACAGACACACACACACACACACACATACACACACAGATGCAAACAGAGACACACACATATATATACACACACACATCGTATATACATACAAAACAGTGTATGTGTGTGAGCGTTTGTGTGGGTTTGTGTGTGTGTAGGCGTGCGTATGAGTGAGTTTGTGTGCCTATATGTGTGTGTGTGCTTGCGTGTGTGCATGTGTATGTCTGGGTGCGTCATAAAACGTTAATCAAAAAATTAAAATTTAAAACGTTCATTTCGATTCATCAAAATAAGTCACGACGAACGTGTAAATCTATGAAAACACAAACTTGTTTGAAAAACTGGACCGAAGAGCCCGTAACATAAATAAATTGATAAATTGATAAATTATTTATATTTATAAATTATTTATTTATAAATTGCAAATTCTATGTAAAATCGTGGTCCACTAAGGAAATACTTGAACAAATAAAAATGAATACGTGAAGGAATAAATAAATGGAAAAAAAAAACAAAAACTAGATAGAGGAACCATTTAACATACTAATGGTAACATTTGAATGGTCCTGGTCCTAGCTAATTAACATTGAAAAATGAATTATTTGCAGTGAAAATTTAACATTTGAGTTCTGCGATAACTTTTCACAATGTTTTTACGCCAGCTGTCTTTAAAAACGACGCTTTTATACGTGACTGCAATGAAAGAACGTCGAGAATCAACCTTCTGATCGCGGTTTCTGTTGAGCCAAAATTAAATTTTGTCACCCAAGTTTTTATGGCGAAATAATTTTAATCAAAATTTTGAAGATGGCAAATATAATATTTGTTGTATACGATAAAGGTGTGAAAAATTGAAGAAGAAAAACACACTTTTTGACTAACAGATGAATTCTCAATAGTTTGAAATAAGGCCTTAAACATTTGAAAAAAATGGAAATAAGTTTATGAATAAAATAAAAAAGAGTAACAGAAAATAAAGCCTCAAAGAAACAAATTTCTTTGGTGCGTACTGAACACGCATGACAGAAAGATTTATAACAAAATTTTCATAATTTCAGGAAAAGAAATAGAGAATGAACAAAATATCCCGTAAGATTTCACCTCCCTTTCCCTCCTTGCCACGAAGGATATAGAAATATAATGAGAAAATTGAGCAAACTAATGTTGGCCACGTTGATCTATGAGAGCGGCATTTAAAAATTGCAAAATTATCCTTCTCTTAGGAAACCATTAATTTTAAATTGTTCTGAAATAATAGGCGTATCAGGCATCAGAAAATATAATTTTTTGAACGAAAACGACGACGATTTTTTCAAGTTTTCGTAAATATTTCAGTTCTTCACTCATCATTTACCTAATTCCAATTTCAATATTCGAACATTTCTGAAACATTTCTTTTGATTAGGAAATTTCCGACAAGTAGCCGTTAGCTGAGTTTTTAATTTTATTCTTAGATCCTCTGTTATTGATGTAAAATTGCTCAAATAGATCTAAATCCGATCTCTGACCATGATCAGTAGCGTTGTTTGATGTTTTGCTTCTATTTGTAGCAGAAGCAGAAATTTTATCAAGTTGAGTACCATCCGAAGGCATTCTTTCCCCATTCGACGAAATATTTTCCGCAGTGCTAGTCATTTCTTTTGTCCTCGACTTTGATTTTTTCTTCTCCCAACAACGTTTGAACAGCATGTAGACCAGCTCTATTACTTCAACCCCACTCGCGGCCGTGATCCCCAACCATAGGGACAACATTCCTCCAACTGTTCCAACCATCACGTCCCAAGAGTATGCAGGATTTTCCGCCAAATAATATGGAAAGTTTTGCTTCATTAAAAATTTGATCTGCAAAAATGACTCTTCAATTTGAGTTAAATTGCTGTAGTAAGGAATCTCGCAAGTAATTTTGGTGCAATTTTTGAAAACCTTCAGATAGTTGGCAAATCTTGCACTGACATTGGCATTTGAAGCTAGGCAATCACTATCTACGAAATAATTTTGAAATAGACTGAGTTGAACCGATGGTTGGGGCCAGGATGTAGATGAATAATATGTCTCATAAATAGTCTCATTACAAGGCATCAAACACTGATTCACACAGTTTTCTTCTATCTTAGGATCGAATAATGCATGAGCGCAGATCAATTCTAAAGTAGTATTTAGGAATGATTCTAGTACATTTATGGACGTATCGTATAGACTGTAATTTCCACACAGAGTAACATTGTTGAAATAAGAGTCCGGTATGCTTAAAATATGTGACATACAACCACATAAACTTTGTGTAACGTTTTGATGACAATATTCCAAGCAGAGATCAGATGTGTATTTGTCTGTAGGTGAGTGAGGCATCGTTTTCTCTCGAGTGCATCCTAGTCTGAAGTTTCAATTAATAAATTAATTTTTGAAATATAAACAAAGATAATAATACAATTTTTTAGCTAAATTTTAACTACTTTATATAATAACTACATAATATAATAATTTAAGTACTTTATATACGAACTCATTGTAGGGTTTATCTTGACGCGTTCTTTCAGTTTGAACAATGTCGACGATACTTTCAGTTCCAGGAGCGATACTGAAGCCTCGCTTAAGGTCAGGGGGAGTGCCAGGACTGTGTACACTCACCTGCACTCCTCTGGCCTGGGAACTCGTCAGTGAAGATTTGAAAGGTACTTGTATGCGATTGGGTGGACCGACGTTCAACAACAAACTTAACCCTCTAATTGTCGGGTTAGATGTCGTCAAGTTGCTCGTTCTCATTGTGTAGCACGTGTAATAATTTGCATTCCAACGTCTCGAAAAGTTGGCTGCGGAACATGGATTTTCAATCCCAAACCAGTCCATCCCAAAGAAATTACAGTCGACGATGAAATTTGGGCAATCGTTAGATTTTGGACGATCTTTTCTTAAATTTAATATATAACCTGGAACTGAAAAAATCTCGTCATACATTGTTCTAATAAATTCATCTGTATTTATTGATTTGTCCACAAAATCAGTGTCGTTATCACTACCCTTCAATGCATCCATCATAAAATTTTGGTTTTTGATCACGAATTCTAAATAAAAATTCAACGATAACTCCGTGGGTTCTCCTTCCGCCAGTGGGTCCAAATTGCAAATTGTAATGTCGGGGAAGGCTAAATTATGACCAATCTTCAAATGGTTGTTTGTTATAAGTATTTACAATTTTTTAAATTATTGCTTTGAAAAGTTTCCCAAATTTTTAAAAAGATTATCATCAAGATAAAAAAAGATAGTTGTTTTTTAGATTAATTTATAAAAAAATACAAAACAATACGAAAAAAGTTTTTTTGTAATAAATATCCATGAACATACAGACTTACTTTTTCTCCATACTTTGATGCAACGGGCCAGGAGTAGTACCTTGTAAAGAGCAGAACCAAGAGGTAGATCATGACTGCAGTGGACCCGAGGAAGAAAACGAGCCATAGGAGTTTTAGGAAAATGTCTTTGGATTTGAAAAATTTTGGTATCCCTCTTACTGAAGTGTTTTCTCCGTACTTCAAAAGCTCTTGTCTGGTGACATCCAACATTTTGACTTTTGCAAATATGATTAATTTTGTCTTCTTGAAACGGTTAATTACAATATATATGTTTATATTATGTTTCTATGATATGAAAACATGAATTTATTTATCTACAAAGCCTTATTTTCAGAACTCTGGGGCTGGTCTTTACTTGTTTGTAAAATTAATGATTTCCAGCATTTTATTGACTGTCTTCGAGATTGAAATATAAACCATTTAACCTGTCCAAATCAATGAGACAAAATTAGAAGTTTAATTTTTTAATTTAATTGTTTTTTAAATAAAAACAAAAATTGAAAGAACTTAGTTATATTTATACAAAACGATCATTCAGAAAACGCATTTAACCTTAGAAATCTTGTTTTTGACCGGTTTTCAGACAAATAATAATGGACATCATAAGTAACCAGTTAATTTAATGTACCTAGTAAATGTACTTAGTGAATGGAGAAGACACCAGCATAAAGTATTTCAGAGCTAATTATTTTTAGTTTATTATTATGGAAAATATAAATAGTTAATTGAAATTGCTATTTTAACGAAATCTGAACAAAATGAAGTTTAACAAGCAGTTAAATAGCAGAATATTAAGCCTATCGTTTAATATTAAAATCAAAATTTATAAGACACCAAAACACAATGAATATCTCACAAAATAACGAACGAATGAACGAACGACATACAAACAAACAAGCACAAACAGGAAAATCATACCAAATACCGACAATGAGAAAACTCAGACAATGATTTTGAATGATCAGCTAAAATATAAACACCCCATATAAGTGTACACAAAGATACTTACGTACATGTGTGTATATATTATATATATATTATATATATATTATATATATTAATGTTTCTGAAAATTAAACCTTTTTTAAATAAGAACATTAAGAAAATTTTATATAACTCAACTATTTTTCCCTACCTTTATTATTGTAATTTAGTTTGGGGGAATGCAAATAAAACAGAACTAAATAATTTATATTTAATACAAAAAAGATACGTCAAATCATTGTTCTCAGATGATTATTTCAACAGTTCCATAAATAAAAATATATTTTTTGATAACCAAATTATGGCTGTTTATGAAGTAAATAAATATAAAACATGTTTATTAATTTTTAGAATTATTCATGAAAATAATAAACTAAATAAACACATCATAAATTTAATTGAGTACAATAGAATTTCAAACACCCGATCTAATGATAAACTCTTAATTAAAACAAATTTAATATTGAATAAAATTAGTGCTCGTCAGTTTTTCTATTATGCGCCGTTGGTTTGGAATGGACTGCCATTTTATTTGAGGGCTTTGACAAATTATAATGATTTCAAAATTCAATTAAAGACCTATTTCATATGTTTGTCATAATATTTTATAATTTTTTTTCTATATAGTTACTTTTGTTTTATACATTTTCTTGATTGGGTTTTATGCTTAGATGTGTGCGCATGAGTGTTGTGTATGAATGTTTGTCTATGTGATGTACAATTGGATATTACTATTATATTATTAATAATGTTTGATCATAACTATTTCCGTTATTACTTTTTTTGTGTGTGATCAATTGAATATGTGACTTTAAATGTATGGAATGGATGTTTTGGGGTTGGCTGAAAAAAACACTCGTTGTTATGCTGGACCCTTTTTTTCCAAATTATTTTTAATGTTTGAAAAATAAACGGATAAAAATATATATATGTATATATATATATATATATATATATATATACATATATATATATATACATATGTTAATTGTAGAAATGTACATTGTACATGTACGCACATATTTAAGATGAAGAAGTAATATAAGAAGATATGAATTATAAACGAGGATCGATTTTTCTTCTTATTTTTTTTTTCATGACTCAACATAACAAAGCTTAAACCATATATGTAGCAATACAAAAAAATAAGCTACTTTTTCTTATTGTTATTAACTTGTTGAGATTACATCATGTTTAGTTATATTATACACACATACAACACACACACACAAACACACACAGCATATACATATACAACGTGGCATTTCATCAGAATCAAACTCGATCAGTGTAACGCAAGAAAGGTTGCTCTACCTCTATACTATCTCGAACGATTGTTTATTCAAATATTCAGCATTTATTTTAAATTTGGCAACTTATTCCCTGCCAACGCATTCTTTCATAGAACTCATAGATACTCTCATATTCCACAGACGTACTACTACACGTACATTTATACACACCACTCACCTCTACACACACATCCACAGATCGCACACACATCTTCACACACTGCACACCTTATCTACCCACCTTATCCATCTACAAACATTTCCACATTTCCACGCAGACAAAAGTTGCAAACATTGTGTTCAACTACTCTACCGAGCCGCAAAAAGCTTTCGATTTTCCGGGTCGAATGACATTTGAGATTTTTTCAATTTGTTAAAAATAATCCCATCAGAAAATCAATGTACATTATAATTGTTATTGTAGTTGCGGTAGCAATTAGTGGTACCATGTTTGCCTATTGTTTTGGTGGAAACATTTGAAAGGAAAATTTTTAATGTAAAGTCAAGCGAAAAAAATGTAATGTTATCAATTATTATTTTGATAACAAATAAAACTTTAAATGGGTTCATACTATGGTGCTAAACATCAAGAGAGAGATTCACGCAACGATGATCTAGTTTTAAAGATTTTGAAGGGTAATTGAAAATTAGTGCAACTTTGAAAAAATTAAGGTTTGTGAATAACGGCGAGGAATGTCTAATACGAAAAAATGGTTTAATGAATAAGTTTAATTATTTAAACTTTAACAACACAATTATAATGTCAACAATATTGTTCACAATGAAGAATTTATTAAAATTTTTGTTACATTTCACTTAATTTTTTAGATGTTTGTGAAACTGAGATTCAATTTTTGTCATTCAAAATTTTCAACTCCATATTCAACATCAGTTAAATTTGATTATTCCTCCGAGATATTTTCCTTGTTTTGAACATCAACTGAGCTGCTAGTGACCGGAGATAGCTTTCTATTGTCCCAAATACATTTCAGTAACAAAAATATCAACTCAATAACCTCAGCTCCACTGGCAACAGTCAACCCCAACCAAAGGGACAACATCCCGCCCACCACTCCAATCAGCACTTCCATCGTATAGGTCTGTATGTTCTCCTCTAAATACGGACAACTTTGTTTCATGATGAACTTCATCTCGAGAAAAGATTCCGAAATTTCTGTTAATTTTGAAATGGGAATATCTTCTTTTCTTGAATAATAGTTGCTATATCTTGAAAGAACATCTTCGTTGTCCCCGCAGTAATCCTTGATATATTTATTAAATATGTCCATCTGCATAGAAGGTTGAGGCCAGGAAGTCGACGTAAGTTGCGCCTCGTACATCATCTCCTCACAAGGCACCAGACATGAAGATTCACATTCGCTCTTAGGAATCGAATTCATTTTAACAACGGAGCAGATAAAGTATGAGAATGAACTGAAATTTTGACTCAACGACCACGAGATGTTACCACACAACGGAGTGCCACCGTTAGGAGGTACACTCAAGAGATGTGTGTAACAATCACAATTCTCTTTGATGTAAGATTGAGCACAGTACTCCAAGCACAAGTTCTTTGAGTATTTGTAATCTGGGGCGAATGGCATTGTTGTCTCCTTTGTACATCCCAAACTGGAAAATATTTTGATTTGCTGATTTATAAAGATAATATACTGATGATTATATGATTTGTTTTTTAATTTTTTTTTATTAAAAGTTAAACAACTTTAGTTAGATTTTAAAGTATAAATATTTTTTAAAAGCAGACATAGTTTTACTTGTAGAGACATTGCAACTTAAAAGATTTGTCTTAACGTCAGCAATTTATTGTAGTTCAACCCTTTTGTTAACTTCGGTAGACAAAGTTTTAGTTGATTAGGAAATTTTAAAAACATACCTTGTGTATGGATAATCTTGTCTTGTTTTCTTTGTTTGTGTAATGTCGACGATATTTTCGGTTCCGGGCGCGACACTGAAGCCCCGTTTGAGGTCAGCGGGAGTGCCAGGACTGTGCACACTCACCTGCACTCCTCTGGCTCGAGAACTCGTCAGTGAAAATTTGTAATTTAAATTTTCTAGATACGGAGGGCCAACATTCAACAAGAGACTCAACCCTCTAACCGTGCTGCCATCTGGAACTGTCAACACACTGACTCGTATTGTGTAGCATGTGTAGTAGTTGGCGTTCCATTCTCTTGTGAAGTTTTCAATGGAGCAATAAGCATTAATTGGAAACCAATTCATATCAAAGAACGAACAGTCGACAACGATTTCAGGACAGTCGATAGTTTCTTCGCGTTCCATTTTTGTGTTGATGAGGTAGCCAGCTGAGGACCCGAATAAACCATAACTGTTGTTTGCAAGCGTGTCTATATCATTGTTGAGAATGTAATTTATTGTTTTGTTGAAAATTTCGTCATCTGGATAGTCATAATTGTCATCCTGATTAGGTATTGGATTCACGTTGGTCATGTTTCTATAAAAGTTGATGGCCTCCTTCAGCATATATTTTATGTCACCTTCTTGTTCAGCAACACGATCGAAATATTCGAATATGGTGTGGTTTCTAGGCTCTCCCTCGGCGAAGATGTTCAGATTGCAAATCGTGATGTCGGGGAATTTCAACTTTTGTTTCGTCTCGAAAAAAAAATTTATTATTTAAAATAATAACATTAATAAAAAATTAATAGAAAGGTTATGCATTTATAATAACTGTTATCATAAGTAAACTTTTTGTTATTTTATTCCAATAAATAAATAAATAAACTAGAAAAAAAGGAGCCAATCGTTTCAACACATAAAAATTATTTCTTCCAGACGAAAGTTACGACTGTCTTTTATTATAAAATTATAATTATTATTTCATAATTTTTTACGCCAGTTGAGGAAAATTTTAATCTTACATGTCGATCATTCAAATTATTTTACTTCATTCAACTGAAGCATACAGGCTTTATGAAAAAATTTGCCACAAAGTGAATGAATTCTTGAGAAACATAAAAAAAAATACATTCCATACTAATTCTCTACGCTCCGTGTATACCGGATAGCCATAGTAGGACTGAAACAATCCGGACATGAAAAGTCCCATGCAAACAGATGAAATGAGTAGAACTAGGAACCAGAGAATTTTGACGAATGTGCTCTTTGACTTGAAAAACCTTGGGACGCCATTGATGGATGCATTTTCGACGTAATTTTTTAGTTCTATTTTGATCGCTGATAAAATTTTACTCAGGATTTTGAATTCTTTCAAGTTTATTACTCTCATAATTTGTTGTAATTTTACAATTGGGGCAAAAATTACAAGAATTAACAACTCTTTCAAGACAAATTTCAGATAAAATATTTGGCCAATTTGCGCTATATCACCTACTACTACAACTGCTACCCCATAAAAAACATCATCATTTGTATATTAACAATTTATAATATAGTTTTATAAATAAGCTTATGGTTTGCGTTGTTAAGGCAATTGTTATTGTATGAGCAAAAAATAGCATTTGCTCGTAAGTGCTTCCAATGTTCCAGACAAATTCCATAAGAACGATTTATTGAAAAGGTGATTTGCAGTTTGTATGGAAAAATGGGGGATTGCAGCTAATACGCTTACAGGAACAATGCTAACATCAATGTAATTATTATTATCCGTACAGTAATGTATATTTTCATTATGACATGCCAATATTGTTTTTAAATTAATTTATGAATGTTTGTTCAAACAGAAAAAACGTTTATATATATACATGTACATACATATAAACAGCCATGCAAAATATTACAAATCAAGCACACACACAAATACGCACATTTAGTAGAACACACATCACAAACACCCACCCACACATCACAAACACCCACCCACACATCACAAACACCCACCCACACATCACAAACACCCACACATCACAAACACCCACACATCACAAACACCCACACACACACACACACACACACACACCGATCAGAGGGGCAGATAAACCATGCAACTAAAACGCATCGAACACACCAACCTGCCAATCATTTTATTTTAAATAATCAATTGTAACTGGCGGGCTATTATTTCGGAAAATATTTATGTATTGTAACATCGAAAGTTTTGATTTTGTTAAAGTCCAATGGATTACTATATATGATACACGTACATGTATATAGGGAATATGGTTTAAAAGCATACGTAGTTTTTTTCTGTCAGTTATTTTTCTATTGATTTTTACAATGGTTTTATTGTATAGCCATGTATACTGCTGTGGATAAACTGGAAAATTATATCTATTCATTTATTTTGTTCACTTTTTTGGTTGTTTGTTTGCGATTGTGTTTGTTCGTTCGTTCGTTTGTTTGTTTTTTGTTTCAAATTTATTTAATGAAATTTTAAGAATGATCAGTAAGTTAGGAGAGGCTTATATTCGTTAAAGCAATTGTTGACAATCGGTTTGCCAGATAAAATTAACTTATATCTTATTTAAACTGGACGTACGATTGATTTGATCTATATTCAAATGAATCATACGTAAAAGCGTTCTCTAGGCTCATACGAATTTCTTTTCATTCGCAAGTCTAGGCCTTTAGAATTGAAATGCCCTTATATGAGTTTTAATTTTATGAAAAAATCATCGTTCTTAAAAAAAATTCAATAAGAAAAAGCTAAATTTGAAAAATCATGTTCCTCAGCCAAGTTTTAAGAATTTTTAGGTTAAAGAATTTGATAAAGCTACGGCTAAGTTTCGTAACGTCATAAATAGTAAAATCACATTAATATAGTGTCAAGAGTTATACGACGAATTTTAAGTTGCTAAATGTGAAAATTGTATACACACTCAAAGCTTCAAAGAAAGGAATAAATTAAATTGAAAATCAGAAAACATTTGAAGAAAAAAATTGTCGTTGATGTTAAAAGTTTTTAAAATGTAAATAAATGTAATTAATATTTGTTAAATTCATTTCTGCCATTCTCATCAGATCTCTTGATGACTGCCTTGCAATCAATACAACGAATTGCATCGTTGGAAAAATTTCCATATTCATTAGGATGAGTTTCACTCGCATTTTTCATATTCTCAACGCTGTATTTGCCCCTTAAGCAAGTAGGTTTCTTTACGTCCCAGAGTCGATTCAACAGCAGGCAGATGAGTTCAACGACCTCGACGGCACTGGCCACTGTGATGCCCAACCAGAGGGACAACATTCCTCCCACTGTCCCTACCATGGCATCAGTCGTGTAAGCCTGGCTGTCCTTCTCCGAAAAAGGAAAACCTTGTTTCATGCCTAATTTTATTTCCAGAAAGGATTCTTCGATTTCTGTTAACTTCGGCGCAGACACACTGGATGAGGCATTATAATTTTCATAGTAACTGGCGTACCTAGATACAACATCTTTGTAGCCAGTGCAGTTACCTTCGATATATTTTTTGAATATGCTACGTCGAACTGACGCCTGAGGCCAGGTAGCTGTGGCCAGGAGCGTGTCGTAGACGGATTCCTTGCACGGTACTAAACAAGTATTTCTACATTTTTGGCTTTGATCCAAATTTAAAAATTTAATGAGACAGAAAAAGTTTGCCAACATGTTATCTCCTGTATCGCTGACGTTGTAGCCGCACAACTTGGTGTCGTTAGATGGAACATTCAGAAGATGCGTGTAGCAACCGCAGTTCTCTTTAATGTGCTGTTGCTTGCAGAAATCCATGCACAAATCTCTCGAGTAGTTGTACTCCGGGGCCTGCGACATTTTTTCAGCTTTAGAGCAGCCAGAGCTGAATATGTAACGAGAGGGAGGAGTTAATTAACCAGCTAAAATAACTTAATGTTTTAAAAAAAGAACTTGATTCGGCTATAAGATGATAGCTGATGATGTCATGCGAGCGAGGTTTATGCTGTTTTAAGTTAGCTCAGTAGAGTGAGTGATGAATGATATGATATGATTCAATCTGAGACTAAGTATAATATAAATATTTTAGTAAATTATATAAAAAAGGAAAAAAATTTTAAATGGCACTGCATTTTCAAAACTTTATAATATAGAGCAAAAAACAATTTTAATGAAGTGAGAATTTATAAATAACGAGATTTAAAATAACGATGATTACCACTTTTCGAGAAAACCGTTTGCTGGTTTTATATACACATTGTTCTAATACACTTAAATACTTGGTGTACGGATAATCTTCTCGGATTCTTTCCGTTTGAATGATTTCGACGATACTTTCAGTTCCAGGAGGAAGACTGAAGCCCCATCTGAAATTAGGAGGTGTGCCAGGACTGTGCACATTCACCTGCACCCCTCTAGCTTGGGACCTCGTCATTGAAAAGTCGTATTCCAATTCACCGGGGTATGGTGGGCCAACATTCAACAAGAGACTCAACCCTCTAACTGTGCTGCCGTTTGGAATTTTCATCTCATTCATTTGTAACGAGTAGCAGGTGTAGTACTGGGAGTTCCATTCTCTTGTAAAATTTTTTACAGAACATTTGGCGTCAATCGGAAACCAGTCCATATCGAAAAATTGGCAATCAACAATGAAATTTGGGCAGTCGACTGATTTGTCGCGATCTTTTTTCAAACTCATTATGTAGCCGGGAATTGAATTAAGTATTTTAAAACTATTTTCAATTATTTTATCCAAATAGGAATCTGCATTTTGTCGTTCATCGACCTCATGCTGACTGAGACTCTCAAAATACTCGTAGCCTATCTCTTTTTCACCCACCAGATGATTTTGAAATGATTTTTTTATCTTCCTTTCAATTTTAGGTTTTAAACTTTGAAGAATCTCTGAATGTTTCTTCTTAGTCATGTATGGAGACTCGCCTTCTGCAAATATGTCCAAATTGCAAAGTGTGATATCGGGAAATTTTAGCGCACCATCCATCTGGAAAAAATTTAACGTAATATTCAAAACAGGATTTAGATAAAAAAAAAACTGAAATAACCGAAAACGTTTCGTTACAATGTAAAATCTTAATTTCATAAAAAATGATTTAACTTAACAATCATTATTCGCCCTCCTCGCCATGTAAAACATTTATTGGAGTTTTTAAAAATAATTACTTGCAAGGGAAACACGGATTCAACCAGTGTAAAGTTTAAAAAAACAAAACACGAAAAAATCTCACAAAAAGATTTTGAAAATAAAAAAAAAAGTCCTTACCAGTTCTCCACGCATGGTGTTCACTGGGTAGCTATAATAATTTTGAAAGACTTTGCACATCAGAAACGTCATGTAGATGAGAGAAACGATGAAGAACAAAGACCAGAGTCCTTTGATGAATACATTGTTAGACTTGACAAATTTTGAGATGCCTTTTATAGAAGTATTTTCTGCATATTTTAGGAGTTCTAACTTGATCGTTTGAATCATTTTTCTTTTATTTCAATTTTAAATTCAACACGACACAACCTAACAGGGCTTACCAAAAGAGAAAAATAATACTTCTCACCCCAGGCAAGAATAAACTCATTATATACCCTTAATGTAACGTATTATGTTATTTTTCATATTGCTGATAATTTGTAGCAACAATTATAATAGATTTACAATTTCCTGATTAAATATCGTATTTAACTGACAGAAGGTAGAAAATTATTCACAATCAAATTCATCACTCCGACTTACCGAAAAGTGTGTTTAAGCTTATATATAAAATGTGTACCAGCTTTTAGATAAAAACACATAAAATCGGAAACTGTCATTTCATACTACCGACCAGACAATTATTATAGAATTTGAGATCTCGAACAGTTAGGTATTGTGTATATATAAAGTGTATATTTGTTTGTATGCGTGTGCGTGCGTGTGTGTGTGTGTGTGTGTGTGTGTGTGTGTGTGTGTGTGTGTGTGTGTGTTCGTTTACCAGGCTAATGAAACTCGCTTTTATTGGGTTGGACTCATGTTCTGCAATTATGTATTTATTTATTTTCCATTACCATTGGATGCCACATTAGTAGTAGTTGTTGTAATAGTAATGGTAATAGTAGCAGTAGTAGTAATAGTGGCAGCAGTAGTAGTAGCAGTAGCAGCAGCAGTAGCAGCAGCAGTAGCAGCAGTAGTAGAAGTAGTGATAATGAAAGAACCAATCTTCACTTTTATCAAAATTCCGTATTTTTATTAATATTTGTAGATTAAAAAAAAACATTCATATTAAAAGTATTTATACATTTTTAATAAATGAAATTTATGTTTTAAAAATAACATAAGTTTATGCATGCAAGGTCTCAGCTTACACAGTGCGTGTATTTATATACAATACAATACATATATCAAACAATCTGTTTATTTGGAATGGCTGGATAAATAGTGATCACTCAGATGCGTTTGTTTAATTAATTAATTAATTAATCAATTAAACCTTTTGTATTCAACATGTTTGCCTATCCATTATGCATGTTTATCATTCTACTAGAGTTTTGTTTGTTGCACTAATAAATTTACACCTGCTTGGCGAGTTGGCTCAGTCGCTAGGCGTGCCATGTCTCGCGATGTTATTGCGCGATGAGACAGTTCGAATGCTATTGGTTCGATACTCAAAGACTGTGTATAGACCGTAGGTCGAAGTGTCGATCTGGCAGCTTTTTGGTCGCAAAAGTGAATTATAATGAATTATATTCTGTCAATTTTGCTGACTTGTCCCCACAAATATTTATGATAGTTTATTTACTTTTAGTTGTCTTAATTTTTTGCAGTCACTAAACAGGACAGTTTATATGGCCGGTGTCCGGAAAATTCATCGTGGAAAATTCATCGTGGCAAATTCATCGTGGGAAAATTCATCGTGAGGGAAAATTCAACGTGGGAAAATTCATCGTAAGAAAATTCATCGTGGGGGAAAATTCATCGTGGAAAAATTCATCGTGGGGGAAAATTCATCGTGGGAAAATTTATCGTGGGGGAAAATTCTTCGAGGGGGAAAATTCATAGTGGGGTAAAATTTATTGTGAAAAACAGTTTTTGCAATTACACACCTTACACACCCCATGAATGTTGTAGATTATAAATACGTAGTTTGAGGACTTTTCTATCCTTAACCTTTTCTGTAATGAAATTTAAAACAACTCAACTCAAAAATGTGTTTATTTTGCAACCATGTCAATGAAATCATGTCAATGAAAATGTCAATGAAATTCAACCATGTCAATGAAAATTTGCAAGTATGTCAAGAGAGATGCGCCTAGAAGTTAAAATTATGGGCCAATCCACGAAGATAATCCATTCTATCCCGGTTATCGTAATCTTGTACTATACGTTTAATTCGAACTGCCGTGTCTCGATAAACCTTTTTGCTTGGAGGCGGATTGGCACCAGCAACATACTGTTCTATTTTTCCTTCATTTAAAGCTTGTTCGTCTTTCAAGGATGAAATGAATTTCCATACTGTTGGATGGCTAGCTCCAATTAGCTCACTAAAGGCTCTGTGCCACCCTTCGCAGAAATTGTTGGTTTTTGGCAAGCCATTGAGAGCAGCATTGTAGCAGTTTCACAGGTCGTATGCAAAACGTGGAGGTCTGCGTTGTTGACGCCGATTAGGTCTTCCAATCCAAGTGTCCTCAAAATAGTCTAAAACAGATTGAGCTTCCACTGGTTAAGACCATCATTGCTATCAAACATAAGAAATTGATCATCATGGTGTGTAATT